GCAAGCTTATAGTTACTTCAAACTGTTTTTAAGTTAAATTTATTCCTTACAAAAGCCATTCTACAGTATATGCGTCATCTTTGTTAATAAGTTACTGGAGCTATTGACAACCAGGCTAAGTGGGTTCGCTTCCATCTCAGCGTTGCGAATCCCTGCTCAAAAGGTAGTCAGGTCATCATTCTCCAGGGCCCTCTGGGCATCGTGTTTCTTGCGCATGAAATGACTGTTGAGAAATGTGAGGAGCATGTTGAGAAGAGCCTGAGTCAGGTTCTGTGCAGTGAATGCGGTCGAATTTCCCGTTTACCGTCAGGCCACAAGTTTTTGAGCTTTATCAGATGTGGTCTTGCGTCATACATCCCGTATACCTGTTGGCTTGCGGAAAGGGGCCCATAATTAATGGCGTTTTTTCTCACTCGAAATTTTGCGTCAAAGTTGGGAAGATGACTTTTGTATTGTTTGATAGATTCTTCTGCTCCATAGACTGATGCACGATTCATTTACTTCAGGCCTTATTATTGCAAATATATTATGACACTATTATTTGAAATTTTATTTTATATATACTATTATTAATTGGACAAGATTTTATTTCCATAAGCTTTGATCGCATAAAAGCTTCAGAAGGCAGTGCCAAGTCGACTGAATCGAGCATTTTCGGAACCTTCTCCTTCCTTCATCTTATTAGGGAGAAACTGCAGAGGCTTATTTGTTAAATGTATGCTCGATGTCCGATATTTCTTAGAAAGGCAGGAAACGGTTTAAATGATTCCATCCGGCTGGAAGCTTACTAAATCAGATTTCTCAAGGGCATCCATGCGGAATAATGGGGAAAAGGTAGTGGTCATGCAGTGCTCCCACATCATCAATGAGCACAACCCTCAGTTGATGGGAGAGTGTCGAGCGGGAAGGTGGGGATGCGGTACAAGCACATGTGAAACAGGAAAACCGCGAGGAAAATACGACCTCTTCCTCCATCCTACGCGCGGGGAAAATGCTGCCCTCCTTCCCATCGTACTCACCACTTTCTCGAATTTTCCCAAGTTCCTATTACCTAAAACGTTTTTCGGAAGGGGGCAGAAATTTTCCCACTTTCACGCAGAAAATTTGACGAGCGAGGGGGGTTTAGGCCCTGAAGGACAAACCTTAAGGAAAAATCCCCACTTTTCACGCAAAAATTAATGTGGGGGTAAACGCTATTACATGGGCCAATCCAGTGAAAAATACCATCGGTTACAGGCGAATGCGCCACCGAGCATGCCAACGGTATTGGCCGTGCCAACTACCGGCTTCTATCCTTTCTGATGGATTCAGTGCCTGGCACTCCCAAGCCTGGTTCACGTGGAGACACCACCCTTGTACCTCCAACGATAAGGCTGCTCAACCGGTAGATGTGACGAGAGCAGGAGAGAAGTTGCAGATGTTAACGCAGCGCATTCTCCTCTGAGAGTAGATTAGTACATGAGCAATGTATTGGCCAAAGTTCAACATTCTGACTACAAGTGGAACCCTCTGTCGACCATGTTTTCGGGAGAGCCGAGTATCATTCATGAGGAGCGAGTAGATTCTATAAACTGGCTTCAAAAAAAGGGGTGCATCCTACTCAAGCGCAGAAGAAAGAATGGTGTCGCATCCGAAAAGAAGCTGATTAACAATGTGAAAGTTTCATCTATCCCCTTCTATGGAAATTTTAAGGAGGATATGGTTTCCTGGTACACTCATGCGTGGTTCGCGATCAGAGCGCAAACGAGTACAAGCTCGTCGACGAAAGAGGGTACGTCAAAGTTTTTGAATTTAGTTTCAGACCATTTTTCTAGGATGCTATCATAATTTGACCAGTCCACGAGACCATTTCATGTACGAAATTCCGCGGCAACGTAGTTTGATTAATGTATCTTTCTGGAAATTTAATTACAGCTGTGTTCTTGAGAAGAGCCTCGTTCCCGATATCACTTACGCATCTGATCTGTCCTATGCTTACACAACTATCAATGCTTTCAGGTGAGTGACGGTACCTTTTTATAGACAAAAATAATCTGAAGCATGCATAGGGGCCGTCTGCCCATTGGGTCCACCTGTACCAGAGGGGTAGCAAGAGCAGCCTTCCTTGAGTGGTTCCGCGAAAGCTGTCATGCTTCTCGTTCCGTCAGATTCAGGCTCATGAGCCCTAATTTTCGTTGCTGTTTCTGTCTCCCAAGGTTTATCTCTGAAAATAGCAGCAGGTTCTCCACCGCTGATCGTACAGTCAAGAAATGTGGGATCAAGCTCAAAGAAGCTTACAGTCTCAGCGTCGGCCTCAAGCAGCTGCAAATTCTTCGGGGTCGAGTCACCCGCGGCAAGTTTCTGCAGTGGTTCACTTTGCATTGTTTTTTGATCTTACCCTGCGAGTCATGTTGGTCCCGAAATGCCCTGGGGCATCATTTCGGCACCTCATAGAAACACATGGATTGATATAGTGGCCCAGAATGTACACTTACACCATGCAGCCGTGAGAAGCAAGTTCCGGTAGTACGCTCTGCAAACCTGCCCCATTGTTAGCCCCTCCATAGCAGTGCCGCAGGTCTTGTATAGCTTGCAAGGCTTCCTGCAGCGCCCATGTGAGCCGAGTTCCTAGCCCCACTAATGCCACAATGACGCTGCCGTGTTGGGTTTAACGCCAGCCTGTTCTCCACTAATTGTTAGGGCAGACACGCGACAACAACGGATGGAAAAAGGACTGGTGCTGCCCCAAACCTAGCCCACCTGACACGCCCAGAGTGTGCGGCGAAGGCGACTGCACACTTTCTACTTCCCTGAGAGAAGGAAAAAGTGACCTGCTAAAAAAGTGATTGCGATTCACGCCATGCGCTATGTTCAGTCCATTTCTATAGTGAAAACTACAGTATTAGAACACAACATACTGGTTCAGATTCGCGGAGCAGATAGTGGTTCATTTCGCCTGCCAAATAACGCTATGTCAAAAGCAAGATCAGGGATGTGAAGGCATAGCAGTGAGTTGCGCATGTTTTTGTTATATTTGAATGGAGAGGAATCTTCGCGATGGTTTTGAGGGACTCTGCATCCAAATTTTCGACAAAGAAAAGTTTGGTACTGGTAAATGGGTGAAATTTTATACTTGAGGAGGAAAAGAGGTTCTCGATGGACAAACCACTCAAAATCCAAGACTACCTGTGATCAGTTACCTCCAGCTTCGCTTCTTACTGCACTGGCCTCATAACGAGAAAAGCGAAATCATAAGGTGTCGGGGCGTGCGAGCGGGCACGAACTGGCAGTTGTTGCGGAACTAAAGGCATTATTGGTAAAAAATGACGCCTTTTCAGTGCTGAACTCCACTCCCCGTCACATGCCGTATCGTTTGCAGGGATTTGACTGATGTAATGTGACAGCTCCTAGAATTTCTTCGTCACTAGGAATTGCCATGGAAAATAGAAATAAGAAGCTTCCTCCATTGAT